TGCGTTTTGACCTCCGATTTTCGATTTTTCTTTCAAAAATATCCCCATAATCTAAATTTTCACCCTTTTTCTCCAAAATTGTTTATAATTAAATCCCCAAATAATTTTTACCCCTTTTTATTATTATTATTATTATTATTTCCATTAAAAAAAATAAAATAAATTAAATTCTATTAATACTTATTTTATATTATATAGAATAAATTAAAATAAAATAAAATAATAATAATAATAATAAAAAGGAATTTCTTGGGTGTTACAGGCCGTCCGTGCGCAATGCAATCTGTATAACAGCTCCGGAAATTCATAATGGAATGTATATTAAAAATATCAAATGCTGAAGCGTAGTCAAAAATTCGATTAACATCCCTTACACTAAAACCAAAAACGTGCTCACAATATAAAAGATCAAACTACCTAAATGAGAAACTTGAAAGTAAAAGCTACAAATATGGCTATGGAGTCTTTAGGCGTCCCCTTCGTCGTCCTCCTGCAGAACTGGCTCGGGAACAAGGTCTTCCTAATAGGAAATGATTAAATAAGGAATGAGCTACACTAGCCCAGTAAAGACATCACGATATCTCACCGTCACGGAGGTAAAGGTGGGTAGAAAACACAAAAAGACCAATGGAGCATAATTTACAACAAAACCTTTTATTAATAATAAAACCTTTACCATTCACTTACCCGTTGAAATTCATAAGACAATATACGAAAACAATAACATCATTATCATCATGAAATCATATATAAACTGTATAACGTAATACTTATCAAGCCTTTCGAAATTCAATCGTTACACAATATATTTTCTTCATTTACCAGCCCACTAGTATCCATGGGGATCCATAGGGTCCCGCTACCCGTTAACCCTTAACACTTGAAATCGTATTCCAGGGGCCGTCCCCATACCCCGTCCGGTATGGGCGCCAAAACTATAAACCTCATTAACCCGTCCAGTATGAGGGTGAAACGGGCCGTCCCCATACCCCGTCCGGTATGGGCGCCAAAACACATAAGATCTCCATACCCCGTCCGGTATGGGAGACCACAATCCCGGTAGGGTTCCCTACGGACCCGGTCCGTCCACCATCTCCCAAGATATCCAGTCAGGCTGACCACATTATACAATTACCCATTTACATAATCTTTCATTCTCTTTTTTCCTCAGTCAGTATCATCAATCACATACAAACAAGCAAAACGGTAATTTATGCCAAACAGACAACATACAGCATCAATATCCCAGTCATTCAATCCATAATCAATAAAACAGTAAAATATGCACATGAAACTATAAAATGAAAACATCAAATCTCATACTGCTTTTAAAACTGTAAACAGGCCAAATAACAGTTAACCGACAAACACACTAGACTTGGGCTCCATTAGCGACCTTAAGCAATTTCACACATTCGTTGATTCATGAAATACCGTTTTATCATTAATTGAACTTTAAGACCGTGATAGGAAATAGGGTGAGGGGTCCTTACACGTTTCGGGGTCCGAACACGGCTTCACAGTGCGCCTACAGGCTGTCCCCAATTTTCCCTGAATTTTTTCCGGGGAACTGAAACGCACTACTGGTACCTGCACATGTTCCAAAAAATCCCAAATTAGGCCCAGGGCCCCTTTTGGCCAATATCGCAACTCCGGCAAGGCGGCTCCGCCGTGCTCCGGCGACGGCACCGCCGCTTGCAGCAGCGGTTCACCTCGGGTTGGCCGTTTTCGGCCGTTTCCAGCCTAATTCGGCCACACTCGCATTGGTTCCTGTGATAAAACAACCCTACGGCCCTCGGGGGGCCGAAAATTTACGGAAAACCGAAGCTTACCGGCGGCGGTGCTCTCGGGTGCGGTGGCTCTCCGGTGAAGTTCGTGTTTTGGTGATTCGGCTCTGATCAACCTGTAGAGAAAAGAATGGTGATCACGGTGATATAAAAATTGCATTAAACGGAGGCCGGGAAGGGCCTCATCGGAGGCAAAAACCGAAGAGGGGCGCGGCGGCGCCGCTGGCTTTCGGCCGTGTTTTCCGGCTGTTTGGTCGGGATTTTGGCTCCGATTTGGCCACTAGGGAAATCAGCGTGGAAAAACGAGTCGGGGGTATGAATTTACCTCGATCGGGCGGTCGGAAATCCCTCCGG